GGGCTCGTGTTCCACAAAATGCAGAAACACGTGTAAACTTTGATGACTACATTCATGTTGATGATGAGTTGGTGATTACTGGAAGCCTCAATGATGATGAAATTCTGGGTTTCGAAAACATCGACGATGAAAACGATGAAACATTTGAAATTCCCTCAGTTTCCACAAAGGTAGCGAAAGCTTCAATTGAAAATTTCCGTCTTTTTTTCATGGCATCAAATGTTGAAGATACTATTTTTATATTTTATTTTATTTTCAGCGAATTAAAAAACAGCAGCTACGCTGGCTAGGTCATGTTGTCCGGATGGACGAATACTCTGAAAGTATTCGACGCAGTACCCGCCGGGGGAAGCAGAGGAAGAGGAAGACCTTCACTTCGTTGGAAGGACCAAGTGGAGAAGGACCTGGCTTCACTTGGAATATCTAATTGGCGCCACGTAGCGAAAAGAACGACTGGCGCGCTGTTGTTAACTCGGCTATAATCGCGTAAGCGGTGTCTACGCCAATCAAGAAGAAGAAGAAACATTGATAATGCCATAGATAAAATACGCCAAAATAATGTCCGTCAAAAACATATTACGGATTTCTTTTAAAATGAACACTTTTCCTAATTTTTTTGTACAATTTTTCAAAATACATACATACATATATTGATTGAATAACATATGTACTTTATATTTTAAAGTTTAAATATGTACAAACATTTATTGTTTTTTTAATTTAAAATATAATTAAGTTTAATAAAAAGTAAATAAAAAACTCTATAATTCGTATATTCTGTATGTTGCCTCTATAAGTTGTATAACTTGATAACTTGAAAAACTCCATAACTATTTAAATTGTGGTCCCTTGCAAATTTTTATTCAGTTCTCATCACAAGCCCAACCCGCACGACCCAACTCATAAAAGGACGTACGACATGTTAACTTAACGAGAGCAGAACAGATGCACTACGGGTATTTATTTCAGGGACCAAGAAACCAATAAGGGACATTCTTTTTGCGGGATGTCGAAATAAACATCAGCATTAGTATTAGCTCAAGAAATTAAGCGTTTTCTTGAACGTTTTCCGTTCGAAATAATTTAACAAAAAGTTTGGAAGCAAAACTTTATCGGAATGATCAAAAGACTGCAGATTTCAACAACAAAAACCTGCCATTGAGTAAAAATCAATTTTTTTGACAGCCAGTTTGCACAGCATAATCAGCAACGAAATGAAAATGTACATATTTCCTTATGTAGCACCTTCGGATCAGGTCATTAAAGTTCGAAATAGTAGCCCTGCAAGCTATACGGGACCAAAGAGGAATTGGAATATCAAAGGCTGATGGCATTAGAGATGAAGTTAATCAATATGAAGAAGTCTATTTTCTTAAGCAATAACTCCTTGCTGTCGTTTTCACAGCGAACAATGGCAGGTAGAAAAATAAAGTTGACACAGGAGCTTAATTAATTTAAAAAATTACATTAAAGCATGAGCTTAGGAGATTCTTTCTTAATTAAGTTACTTCTTGTCTTTGACACTGTTCAAAAGAAATTCCTTATGTAGATTTTCAGAACCAGAACTAAATTTGTTTCACCCAAATCAGGCAGCAAATTCGGAATAATGTTTATTAGCCCTGCTTAATAAACATAACAAACTGCATTCGATTCAGAAACAATTAAATTTCTTAAATGTGTTGAGGTCAATTTTACGGAGGTCGAATGTATAAACCTTCCCAACCAATTCAACACAAGCCAGAGAAAGAATATTCTGTTCCTGACTAAGTAAAAATTTACACACCTTGAAAGAAGATCACCCACAGATTTAATTTATGTATATGAAAACAAATACAAGTAAGAGGCTGGGCAATAAACTGCCGCTACAATAACAGATAAATAGATACGGAACAGTGGTTCTAATAAAAGAGAGAGAGGTCCATAAGGACAATTTAAGATTGATTCGATGAAAATTCGGTTATCTGGAAAAGCTTTAATTATCGGTTACTGATCTAAATGTAACCAATGAAATAGCTGGTGAAAGATGATTACTTATGAACGACTTCCCTCAGTCGAACATGAAGTTTTAGAGTCTGATATAGGTCGTATAGAAACCCTATTAGAAACATTCATGATGGACAAAGAGGGAGTATTAATAGATTAGGGATCGCTTTGAAAGTGGTTGTCAGAGTTTGAAACATTAATGTTACCAAGTACTCTGGGCTCGAATTGCCGTACTCGTTAACGAGCGAGTAATTCTATGAAACTGCGTAACATATCGAGAAGCATGATCACCGCTCACGATTCGAGCGAATAGAAGTTTATGGCTATAATAGGGAAATGCTGCTCTAAATACTATTTACGAATAACATTAAGTGTGAAAACAAAAAAGTATTTGAATTGGAATTCATTTAGAATTTCATTGAATTTAGTTTTGTCAGGAATTAAAATAAATCTTATAAATACTTTGTACAAGTTTGTTAGATTCAGATGAGGAACATCATCAAAGGGCCACAAGGGGCAATTAAAATTAAAAAGTAATTTATCAACCGCAGTACTACCGATGCTTCAATTAGCAGCGAGTTTGTCCCTTTTAGCGAGGGGAGGCCGTCAACAATTAGTTGGAATATGCTAAAGCAAAAGGATGGAGTAATGTGTAGAAGTTCACGCACGTGAGGAAAGTTTTCTGATCGCCATTCACTTGGGAGTGGCCAGAAACGATTCTTTTACATATGACTCAAGCAGCTCACGACTTCCGGTCCTT